CCTTGAATCTTTTAATGATGTTCTGCACTGTTCAAGGTGAAATATCCAAACGCCTTCCTGTCTTTCTCTGAGGAAGATTGTGTTTAAACATTTCAATCATTTTCTCAGGTATCTGTTGGCAAACTGGCGATCCTCGGCCCATCTTTGCTCCTAAAGGACAAGACCTTTCTTTGATGCGGCTTTTGTACCAAATCATAATTACAATCACCTGTTGACATCAACCGCTTCACATCATTATTTCACCAGTTTACCTGATGACTAGCCTTAAACTGCTCCTGTCACAATTTTTTTTTTAAATGTGTTGCAAGAAACAAACTTGGAATAAGTGTTTGAGGAAAAAAAACCCGATAAAAATGATGAGGAACACATTAAATAAAAGTAAGTTGGAAAGACCCAACCATTGGGTTAAAACAATGGTCACCAAACTTGTTCCTGGAGGGCCGGTGTCCTGCAGGTTTTAGCTCCAACCCTAATCAAACACACCTGAACAAGCTAATCAAGTTCTTACTAGATATACTTGAAATACCCTGCTGTCGACCAGGCTGGTTTTAGAGGGGTTTTGGCCATTTCAAGGCTTGTTTCCAGCCATTTCAGCCTGGTCTAAGCTGGTCAGGCTAAGCGCTTTCCCAGTCTAGCCAGGCTGGGAGCCCAGCCAAAACCAGCTATGTCCATCTTAAACCAGGCTGGTTAAGCTAGTTTTAGCTGATAATTTTACAGCATGACCAGCTAAGACCAAGCTGGAAATGTCTGGAAACCAACCTGAAAAATGTTTAAAACCCCTCTAAAACCAGGCTGGTCAACCAGCTAAAACCAGCCAACCAGCTTGGGCTGGTTTAAGCTGGATTTTTCAGCAGGGCATCCCGGCAGGTTTGTTGAGCCAAGTTGGAGCTAAACCCTGCAGGGACACTGGCCCTCCTGGACTGAGATTGGTGACCCCTGGGTTAAATAGTGAAAAAAGTTCCATATTTGATCCAACTTTGAGTTTAATTAATCCAGCATTCTTTTAAGTGTACAAAACAAACATCACAAATGTGCTGTACTGACTGCATTCAGAGTGTTGCTTTTAGAAATATTAGTTAATATCTGCCATTTGAATCTTCTCCCCAGGCTGGTGGGGCTTCATCAGGACAAGCCGAAGGGAAGTCGCTTCTCTATCTTCAGCTCCAAATCAAGAGTTTCAGACGCAAGCGAGCAAAAGATTGAAAACGCTGTTGCATAAAGCCAGTCACTGTAAACGTCCTGTACATGCTCATATCAATACTGTCAAATAAATTCTGCTTACTTGTTGCATCAAGAATGATTCTGCTTCCAGTGCTTGTAGATGTCAGAGAAGAAATCAAAGCAACCTGTAAAACTGAAGCAGAGCTTTCCTACACAGAGACACAGTTCACTGCAAAGCTATGCACAATACAGCATGTGAAATCCTCATGCGATAGTCAAATCGCAAATAAAGATTCAGCAATACTGACAGCTGCTTGTTAGCTTCTCTGTAGTGAATGTAGTAAATTTTGCTAATACTAAACCTGAAAGCATGTGCAGAAATCACATATATAATGGCATTTCTCACTTCATAGCTTGAGTCGAGTGTTTGAAATAAGCCCTTCTGTCAAGTGATGCATCTTCTTACACAGTAAAAAGCACAACATATTTCATAATAGCATTCTAAGCAGTGACGAAGGTCTTGTATCATTACATACTTAATTATTAGGACAACTATAATAAGACAAACTTGGATGAACCATATGTTGTCGAGGTTGCGTGTTGTCTGTCTGATGTAATTTTTCTATATGCGATCTGATTGGGTGGGAATCACGGAACTAATTATTCTACTTAGCCAATCACCATAGACATGAAAAAAATAAACGAGTGACTGAAGGCTGAAGGTAAACAACACAGTAAAAGTACAGATACTGCATTAAAATCTGCTCAAATCAACTTCTTACAAACTCCCCAATTACAGTCATTCGAGTATTTGTAATTCAATGTTTTACACCGCTGCCTTTAAAGTCAGCATAAAATTGAGTCTTCTTAATTTATTTGTATGTTGTAGTGCTCATTATAAATGATGTATCTGTATCCGTGTGTATCAAAACAACTTCACTTCTGGTCACATGAAATGTCTTTAGGACGGACCTATCAGTATTTCAGGAAGGAGCTATCAGTCATTAAGGGAGGAGCTATCAGACCTTTAAGACGGCGCAATCAGTAATTTAAGGAGGAGCTATCAGTCATTAAAGGAGGAGCTATCAGAACTTTAAGACGGCGCAATCAGTAATTTAAGGAGGAGCTATCAGTCATTAAAGGAGGAGCTATCAGACCTTTAAGACGGTGCGATCAGTAATTTAAGGAGGAGCTATCAGTCATTAAGGGAGGAGCCATCAGACCTTTAAGATGGCAATATCAGTAATTTAAGGAGGAGCTATCAGTCATTAAGGGAGGAGCTATCAGACCTTTAAAACGGCGCGATCAGTAATTTAAGGAGGAGCTACCAGTGATTAAGGGAGGAGCTATCAGACCTTTAAGACGGAGCGATCAGTAATTTAAGGAGGAGCTATCAGTCATTAAGGGAGGAGCTATCAGACCTTTAAGATGGCAAGATCAGTAATTTAAGGAGGAGCTATCAGTCATTAAGAGAGGAGCTATCAGACCTTTAAGACGGCGCGATCAGTAATTTAAGGAGGAGCTATCAGTCATTAAGGGAGGAGCTATCAGACCTTTAAGACGGCGCGATCAGTAATTTAAGGAGAAGCTATCAGTCATTAAGGGAGGAGCTATCAGACCTTTAAGACGGCGCGATCTGTAATTTAAGGAGCTATCAGTCATTAAGGGAGGAGCTATCAGACCTTTAAGACGGCGCGATCAGTAATTTAAGGAGGAGCTACCAGTCATTAAGGGAGGAGCTATGAGACCTTTAAGACGGCGCGATCAGTAATTTAAGGAGGAGCTATCAGTCATTAAGGGAGGAGCTATCAGACCTTTAAGACGGCGCGATCTGTAATTTAAGGAGCTATCAGTCATTAAGGGAGGAGCTATCAGACCTTTAAGACGGCGCGATCAGTAATTTAAGGAGGAGCTATCAGTCATTAAGGGAGGAGCTATCAGACCTTTAAGACGGCAAGATCTGTAATTTAAGGAGGAGCTATCAGTCATTAGGGAGGAGCTATCAGACCTTTAAGACGGCAAGATCTGTAATTTAAGGAGGAGCTATCAGTCATTAAGGGAGGAGCTATCAGACCTTTAAGACGGCGCGATCAGTGATTTAAGGAGGAGCTATCAGTCATTAAGGGAGGAGCTATCAGACCTTTAAGATGGCAAGATCAGTAATTTAAGGAGGAGCTATCAGTCATTAAGGGAGGAGCTATCAGACCTTTAAGACGGCGCAATTAGTAATTTAAGGAGGAGCTATCAGTCATTTAGGGCTGAGCTATAAGTCATTTAGGAAGACTCTATCAGTCCTTTATGGCTAGGCTACCAGTCACTGAGGGAGGAGCTATCAGTTATTTAGGGAGGAGCTATCAGTAATTTGGGGAGGAGCTATCAGTCATTTGGGAAGGAGCTATCAGTCACTTAGGGCGGAGCTATCAGTCATTTAGAGTGGGGCTATTAGTCTTTTAGTCCCATCCATCATTTAAGGAGAAACTATCAGTCATTTAGGGATGAACTATCAGTTCTTTAGTGCAGAGCTATCAGTCGGTTAGGGCGGAGCTGTCAGTTATTTAGGGAGGAGCTATCAGTGATTAAGGGAGGAGCTATCAGTCATTTAAAGCGGGGCTATTACTCCTTTAGGGCGGAGCTATCACTCACTTAAGGTGGAGCTATAATAATTTAAGGAGGATCTTTCAGTCATTTAGGGCGGGAATATAAGTCAATTAAGGTGGGGCTATCACATGGGGTATCAGTTATTTAGGTTGGGATTATTAGTGATTTAGAGCAGGGCGATCAGTCATTTAGGATGGGGCTATCACTCATTTAGGGCAAAAGCTAACAATCAGTTAGGGAGTAGCTATTGCTCCTTTAGGGTGGGGCTACAAATAATTTAGGGAGAAACTATCACTCATTTAGGGCGGGGCTATCAGTAATTTTAGAGAGGAGCTATTTAAGATAGGGTATCTGTTATTTAGGGTGGGAGTATCAGTGCTTTAGAACAGGTCTATCAGTAATTTAGAGAGGGGCTATCAGTTATTTAGGAAGGGGAATTTAGGCATTTAGGGAGGGGCTATCAGTCATTTAGGGAGGAGCAATCAGTTCTTTAGGGTGGGGCTATCAGTCATTTAGGCAGGGGCTAACAACCTTTTCGGGTGGAGCGATCAGTCGTTAAGGCAGGTGTTATCAGTTCTTTAGGGTGGAGCTATCAGTCATTCAGGGAGGGGTAATCAGTTATTTAGGGTGGAGCTGTCAGTCATTCAGGGAGGGGTAATCAGTTCTTTAGGGTGGAGCTATCAGTCATTCAGGGAGGGGTAATCAGTTCTTTAGGGTGGAGCTATCAGTCATTCAGGGAGGGGTAATCAGTTCTTTAGGGTGGAGCTATCAGTCATTCAGGGAGGGGTAATCAGTTCTTTAGGGTGGAGCTATCAGTCATTCAGGGAGGGGTAATCAGTTCTTTAGGGTGGAGCTATCAGTCATTTAGGGAGGGGTAATCAGTTCTTTAGGGTGGAGCTATCAGTCATTTAGGGAGGGGTAATCAGTTCTTTAGGGTGGAGCTATCAGTCATTCAGGGAGGGGTAATCAGTTCTTTAGGGAGGGGTAATCAGTTCTTTAGGGTGGAGCTATCAGTCATTCAGGGAGGGGTAATCAGTTCTTTAGGGTGGAGCTATCAGTCATTTAGGGAGGGGTAATCAGTTCTTTAGGGTGGAGCTATCAGTCATTCAGGGAGGGGTAATCAGTTCTTTAGGGTGGAGCTGTCAGTCACTAAATCGTGCACTGCCCTACTTTTTTAATTTCAGGATCGTTTTAAGTAGATGTAAAAATAAGAAAAATAGCAGTAAAAAGGAGAATCTTAAGTTCCGTTTCTGACTTTAATTGTTTTGTTATAACAGTACATCAGTCACCTGATCAGACATCAGTCTTGGACAACATGATGAAACATGACGAAAGCTGGAAGATCCAGAATTGCAGGTGAAATGTTCACTGACTTTAACTGGGAGGATCCTCAGAGGGTCAAGAGAAGTAAAGAAGGGAAAGACGGAGTCAGTGAAGGTGGCTGTGAATGTGTGTAGATGTGTGTCTGTTACAGGATCAGAGAAACACACAGTTCCTTCATCACAGTCCAGCTCAACTCTCACACACTCAAGATCCTGTTTAACATGAAAACAATTGGACGCACTGGAGTTCGGTGAATCCTGTGGCGTATTCGCAAAATACTCCACATTTTCCACACTCCAGATATCAGAGTCATAAAAGTCCTCCCCCTTCCTTTTTGACGCTGTCGTTACTCCAACAGTCCATTCATCATTATCCTTCACCTCCACATCCCAGCGGTGTTTTCCTGAGCTAAAACCCACTGATCCCAGAACACACTCAAAATAGTCAAACCTCTCTGGATTATCAGGCAACGGATGTTTGTCCTCGGTCAACCTCACGCTGGTCAGATCATCAGACACGATGAGATGAGGATGAGCAGTGTTTGAGTCCAGAATCACAGGAGCTGAAGAGACACAATCAACAGCGGCTTTTATTCTGATGTTCATATTAGATTAGATCAGATTCAACTTTATTGTCATTACACATGTACAAGGCAACGAAATGCAGTTTAGGTCAAACCAGCAGTGCAATAGCAGCAAGTGCAGGATACAGGTATAAGTTATAAAGTGCAGTTATAGAAAAAACTGTGGTGATATTTACAGATGGATGAACTATCAACATTATATACAGGTTGTATTAGCTATTAACAGAGATTTACAATAGATGAAAATATATAACTATAGTGGCAATAATATTATAACCATGTGTGAATCAGGGCTGTAGCTCAATCCTGTTCCTGGAGATCGACCTTCCTGCAAAGTTCAGCTCCAACCCTGATCAAACACACCTGAACCAATTAATTAGGACCTGAACAGCACTTGATAATTACAGGCAGGTGTGTTCTCCAGGAAGAGGGTTGGTCATGCCTGATATAAACTATAATTTGTTATATAATAAATGAACAAAACCAGGAATCAGAGAATGAAATTCAGTACCTATTAAGAAATGTTTTAAGACGCTTTTCATACATTTTAAGATCTTATGCCAGTTTAACTTTCAACATGTAACATTGACAACATTTTAACATACAGTATATTTAGTAAATTCTAACAGTCAAACATCTGTACTGGCTGTTCAATTATCGAAAAATTTATGATCACGATTATTTTAGTCATTATATATACATATATATATATATATACACACACACACACACACACACACACACACACACACACACACACATATATATATATATATATATATATATATATATATATATATATATATATATATATACACACACACACACACACACGTATATATATACAAATTTGCTTAAACTAAGCATTCTAATGTATGGCTGTATTTCACAAGGATTCTGACACAACAACGTGAAGTAGACACTTTATAAAAGTTGCGTTTAAGGGGGAAACACGTTAAACTCAATGACACATTTGAAGGCTCAAGGAATCATCTTGAATGTAGATGAATGCACATGCGACATCATCTGGCACTTTCTGAGTACCTTTACATGGACAGCAATACTCCGATTTTAATATGATTAAGATAATACTCTTATTGAGAGTCTACCATGTAAATAGCGATTTTAGATTACCTTAAAGGACCACAGAGTCACGAAACGTGGAGGTTTTTCTTTCCATTCAGCATGTGGTATCAAATTCCATTAAAACAATAGTCGAAAGTTAAAAATGAAACACACGAAATTAGATGAAACTCTGGCAGAAACGCTGTATAGCCTGATAATGTGACATTAATTGTGCTTAATTTATTAAGTGCTTCCTTGGTCTTATGCATATTTCTTTGCACGTTAAACTCACGTCGACAACAACATAAAAAAAATTGCAAATGCGTTAATTGCATTTTTTTAAACGCGTTAAATAGTTCAAATCATTCGCATGCGTTAGCACCACACTAATTTTGACAGCATTAATATATATATATATATATATATATATATATATATATATATATATATATATATATATGTATTCATTCATTTTCTTGTCTGCTTAGTCCCTTTTTTAATCCGGGGTCGCCACAGCGGAATGAACTTATCCAGCAATTTTTTACGCAGCGGATGCCCTTCCAGCCGCAACCCATCTCTGGGAAACATCCACACACACATCCACACACACTCATACACTACGGACAATTTAGCCTACCCAATTCACCTCTACCACATGTCTTTGGACTGTAGGGGAAACCAGAGCACCCGGAGGAAACCCACGCGAAGGCAGGGAGAACATGCAAACTCCATACAGAAACGCCAACTGAGCCGAGGTTCGAACCAGCGACCTTCTTGCTGTGAGGTGTCAGCACTACCTACTTCTCCACTGCCTCACCCATATATACATATATATATATATATATACATATATATGTATATAAGGGGTTGCACTAGTTGACTAATCGTCCGGTTGACTTTAAGGCTCTTCTGTGACGTTGTCTAATTTGATTGACATCAACTAGTCACACTGCACAGACCACATGGTTTGACCTGTACTAGATGACAGCTTTGCAAACAAAGGTGGTTCACTGAAGGAAACTGCCCTCGGATTATTTAAAGTCACTTTTAAATTTATGTCAGCGTCAAAGATTCACATGAACTATGAGTGAATTTTAAATCCTCAAAGAGACACCAGTTAGATCACTCCATGCAAATACCCCAGAGCAGATGCTAGCCAATCATGTGTTCCAACCTGGAAAAGTCATGTGATTGGCTGTTGTCCTCTGCAAAGCATAGATGCTGACATATTTTGTGAAATCGACACGGCTTTGAAGCGCTCAAGTGGTGGCTAGGCCAGGAGGCATTTCTAAATTAGCATGTTCTCCTTGGATTTGCAGGGTATTCCTCCAGGTGCTCCAGTTTTCCCCATAGTGCAAAGATAAGTGGTATAGGTGAATTGGATAAAATTGGCTGTAAGTATGAGTGTGTGTGTAAATGTCAGTGTAAGGGTGTTTCCCAGCACTGGGGGATCAGCTAGTGTAATCTGTGCTGGGTTGCAGCCGGAAGGGCATCCACTGCATAAAACATGCCAGAGTCATTGGCGGTTCATTCCACTGTGGCGACTCCAAAGACATCAAGGACTAAGCTGAAGGAAATTAATAGAGTGAAAACTTTAGCAGATGATTTTTATACAGAGCAAGTCTAAAGCGTTAGTGTCATGAAAACTGTCTGTGCAGATGCTGTAGTGTAGACTCTTACTGTAGTGGACGATGTCCTGCATCTTCCTCCAGACTCTGTACTGCAGGTTCCCCAAGTACTGAGACACATGAATCAAAGCTCCAGAAGGCGTCTGTGGATCCGGCTGTGAGATCTGGACTCTGGAAGAACATTCAGGAGTCAGAACTGCAGTGGCTTTGGCTTCAGAAGCAGAGAGAGCAGAGACAGCAGCAGAGCACTCACCTTTCCATTGAGCCTGCAAACTCCTTCAGAAAGCAGACGTCATTGGCTTTCAGCATCTCCTCCGTGTCTCTGATTGTGTGTGAAAGAGCTGAGATGTGTGTGTTCATCTCCTCCAGCTTCTCCTTCATCATCTGCTTCTTCTGCTCCTCTTCCTCCCTCAGTGCAGTGATTGTAGCTTCTTCTTCATCTCGGAGAAACTGATGAAGCTTCTCAAACTCATGCTTAATCTGACGCTCGGTGTCATTGGCTTGAGCCTGAAAGGAAATCAAAGACACTCCAGTCATCCCATTCAACACTTGATGCTACAGCTGTAACAGAAACGACTCCTGATTGTGTTTGCTCACCGTGATGTGCTGAACTGTTCTCTTCAACTCTCCCTTCAGCTTTTTGCTGTGTTTTAGTTTCTCCTGAAAAGATGTCAGAGCTTTATTGAGCTCCTCCTGCAAGTGAACAAAATAAAAGAATGTAAAACGATGAATCAACCATTTCACTAGCTGTGTTTCTGTCTAAAGATGTAAATGAGATTAATGTGCTATTCGGAAATATGGCATAAAACATCTGCGAATAAAGCAGCGTTTCCATCCAATCAGCTAAAGAGAATAAAGTCATCACTTTCTGATAAACTGGAGCAGATATCAGTCAGAGAAATGTAGTTTAGTGTGTTGGGATTTGCCACTGTGGTGTTTTTCTTCTCTAATAAATGAGTTGCGCCTCAAAAGACGAAACGCTTTTGGAAGCGTGAGACGCTCTTTGGAAGCATAGAAAGATGCTCAAGACAGTTGTGCGCATGTGTTTTTTTAATACACATTAGCTGCATCCCACATGGCACACTATACACTATGCACTCATGCACTATGTACTTATGCACTTACACACTCAACAGGATAGTATATGTATGTAGTGGCGTCCCAAATGGCACACTAATGTTTTTTTACTAGGCGGAAATTCAAACCGTTTCCCTGATGACGTTTGACGGTTGCCAAATCAGTGAAATAAACGACCGAATTATCAAATAATACCTGCCGTGACTATTGCCGCATTCTCCATCGGTAGGCGCTATAATCACTCTCGTAGGAGAATTTTGCTTTCATCATCCAAAATAAATAAAGTTATCCAACATGTGCGTCCGATAGCTCCGCCCCTTCTGCTACATAAGCAAACCTGCGGTCGTTGAGTGCGTGAAGTGTCCATCATTACACACTTCATTTTAGCGGCTGAATGAGTGCATCATCCGGGTAATTAAAGTGCACTTATTATTTTTAGAGTTTTCAGTGTGAACGCACTACTTACACTATTTATACTACAAAATGGCGCAGAATAGTGCATAAGTATGCGATTTGGGACGCAGCTATTTTCAAAACGTCTGCACAATTTAGCTTTTTTTAAAGAGCCCCTATCATACATTAAAAAGGGCCTTATTTTAATTTTGGGGGTCTCCAACAACAGGCTGACCTACATGCAAGGTCAAAAGCACTTCCATTGTCTTATAATATGCAATTATTTTTACCTAATCATCCCAGTGACTCCCATATGAATCGTTCAGGGATTCATTTGTTTCCAAACCCCTCCTTAGAGTAATGCTAATCTTCGCTGATTGGACCGATGACAGACTGTTGCGATTGGTCAACAGCGTTCAGCGCGAGACAAAGTGAAATGCCCAGCACGGCTTACCAAGAATATTGAAGTAGTCAGAGTGCAGTGTGTATATACACACGAGCATACCTGCCAACACTCCTGTTGTTTCCGGAAGTCTCCTGTAATTCCGACACATCTCCAGTCACCCACCCATTTTGTTATTTAGCCTGGAAAACTCCTGTAATTTCAACCACGCCCAGTCCTCAGAATTTAAGTACGGTCTGTGAAATCCGCAGGTCGCCAACATTGGTATAGGATCCGATCGCAGCGTCCACCCAAAACACACTTCATAGTAGTTACTAACACCACAGTAAACAGTACCCGGTTCTCACCAGTGTTATCAGGGCCAGTGCATTCATAGAGTCGGCCTAAGCGGTCGCCTTGTGCAGCAGAATAGTGAAAGCAGTGTCCGTGAATCCCCCGGTCCTCACTTTCATTCACAAACTGGTCACTTTGTTTTTCACTTTTGGGTTGAGGACAGCGTGATCGCCGTTCGCCTAGAGCACCAGTTCAGCTTGCTCCGGCCCAAAGTGTTATTCAGGCAAACCTAACCCCCCCCGGTGTCCTGGACATTCAGGTACAGATGTTGGCAGGTATGTGTGTGCAGTTAAACAGCAGCATATCAGCAGCTCTATTCTTGACAGACATTCAGGATTAATCTACACAGCGGCAAAAGCTGAACTATTCTGAACCTTGACCGCTGCAAGTGTCTAGGCACAGCTGACGATGGCCATAGCAACGACAAATGGAAGAGGAACGCGAGCTTACAATCACATTTAAATCCGTAAACAAAGCGGCACTTGTCATGTTTTCAATGTGGCTTTAGACAATATGAGAATATAAAGAGTTAACCTGATACAGTACAAGCGGTTACAAGTAACAAAACACAATTAAACACATCATTTGCAAGCAAGAGAAAACAAGGAGGCGACCATTTTATTCATCGCATTAACTTATACTTGTGAAATGGAGGAAGAATGTGATCCATGATCCATGTACTGACAGTCTCTTACATCAATAGTTTTTTCTGATCCTTCCATTAACAAACGAGTGCCCCGTTGTAAATGTATAGATTCCAGAAGCACTCAAACTGCACAAGGCTGGGCTATAATGCTGAGGTATTTTTGCAATAATAATCCTCAACCCCTGACTCTTCACAGTTTCATCTTTGGGTAGAGAAAATAATACAAAATTTCCCTCACACTTCCAGTAATATCCAGTAGAGCACAGCATTGATTCAACCGGCGTCTGCTACAGTGTGTGTCTAGCCTCTTTTCCTTTGCTACTGCGTTTGTGGGCGGGGCCTCAGGTTTCAATTTTCCCGGGTTTGTGTGTGCAACAGCTGGGCGGGCTTAAGTTTCTTATCTACGTCACGCCGAAACGGCTAAAGACTCGTTATTAAGACGATTCATTTGTCAAGGTCAAGGTCAAGGTAAAATTTATTGTCTCCCGTAGGAGAAATTTGTTTTAGAAAAAAAGGTTCTGCTGTACATCGACACCAACAAGACAACATGTAACATACATACACATTAAAATCTAATCCTAAAATACCTCCTAATATAAATATGATTCCATAAAATCAGTAATTTTAATAAAATTTTTATAAAAAAATAAAACAATTAAAGTACCATATGCCCCACTGCCCTCTGTTGTGCAAACCAATCCTGTTATCTTAGTCTTTGACCATCCTTCCTTGCTTGCTCGTTAATCAACTTAATTGAAAAAGGAACAAAAGAATGTTTAAATCTATTATGCTTGCACAACGGGACCCTATATCTTCTGCCAGAATTCATCAGCTCATATTCCACAGACAGCACATGTGAAGAATCAGACAAAATCTTGTTGGCTTGTTGGATTGTGCACAACTCAAAGATGTCTTTTAGTGAACCAAGTGTCTTAATTCCCATGATTTTTCCTGCCACTCTCATCAGGTTATTTACTTGGGTTTTCATTTTTACTGTCAGATTCCCAAACCAAACAATAATCCCATATCTTAAAATAGACTCTATTGTTGCTTTATAAAAAGTCATCATTATGCTGCTACTCACTCCAAATAATCTTAGTCTGCGTAAAAAGTGTAATCGCTGATGAATTCTTGCACAAAGACTTGACACCTGAGAGTGCCAATTAAGTTCACTATCAATATTCCCTCCTAAATATTTATATGAATCAACCTGCTTAATGTCTTTATCATAAACCACAATAGAGCTCCTATCGCTTACTGACCTGGGGTCTATGATGACCTCCTCCGTTTTCTTAACATTAATTTCCAAATTGTGGTCATCACACCAGCAGACAAACCATTCTACAGCCGCTCTCTATTCCATGATGCTGGCATCTTTTGTGAAAAGGTGCAATAGTACAGTGTCATCGGAAAATTTAAGAATATATTGGTTTGTCTGCTGCCTAACGCAGTCGTTTGTATAGAGGGTGAACAGAAAGGGTGAACTTACGCACCCTTGTGGCGCCCCTGTACTACTTGTTGCTACATCAGATAACCCTGAATTAAATTTTACCTGCTGGGTCCTGTCTGTTAAAAAAGAATAAAACCATTTAATAACAAAAGGGTTCACTTGCATTTTTACCAGCTTTTCCAAAAGTTTATGTGGTTGAATTGAATTAAATGCTGAACTAAAATCGATAAAAAGTAACCTAGCATAAGCAACTGGGCTCTCTAGATGTTTTAAAACAAGATGTGTTAATGTGGAAATTGCATCAGTAGTGCCACGGTTACTTTTGTATGCAAATTGATACTGGTCTAAGTACGGCTCAACTTCCTTGCGCAATTCTTTTATTATAATCTTCTCAAATGATTTCATGACATTTTATGTTAGGGCCACTGGCCTATAATCATTATTGTCTTGTGGACAAGGCTTTTTTGGAATTTGGAATTATCACAGATTTTTTCCAGAGCTTTGGTACTGTATGTGTATCCACTGAGAGTTGAAACAGGCGATGCCAGGCTGGTGTAAGCTCCTCAGCAAATGTTTTTAGAAGAAAGCATGTAATACCATCCGGTCCCATTGCCTTACTAGAACATAAAGATTTAAAAACCTTAGTAACGTCTCCTTGATGTATTAACCTCCTTTTTTCAGCCATGCTGCCATTTACTTCCCCTAAAATTTCTTCACATTTTTTTTAATTATCTGTCTCAAATCTCATATAGAAATCATTCAATTCATTTGCCTTAACAGATTCGTTACAGGCGAATAATGCCTTTCTTTTTGGTGTCATATTTGTCATTCTCCGAATTGAGTTCCATAATTCTTTTGTATTGGACTTTAACAAATGTTGTTCAGTCTGTTCTTTATATTTTATCCTTGCACTCCTTAGTTCCCGATTAAGGTCTTTTTGTGCTGCTCTAAGCCCCTCGGTATCACCTGCCCTAAAGGCCAATTTCTTCCTTTTAATACAGCTTTTAATTCCCCCTGTTATGTATGGTTTGCTGTTCGGATAACACTTAATGGTTCTCTGTGGAATGATAGAATCCACACAGAAAGAAATATATGCTGTGATAGTTTCTGTAACAGAATCTATATTTGCATCCTGATAAAACATGTCCCAGTCTGTGCAGAGGAAACATCCCTTTAGCTCCTCAATACTTTCATTTGACCATGTCTTCATGACCTTAGTCGTTGGTTTACTTGTTTTGAACACAGACCGATAAGTAGGAAGGAGATGGATAACGTTATGGTCTGAGTTACCAAGGGGGGGTCTGGCTTTGGCAACATAAGCATCCTTAATATTGCCATAACACTTGTCAAGAATATTCTTTTTCCTTGTTCCACACTTAACATATTGAAAAAAACCTGGTAAGGATTTTTCCAGTCCACACTGATTAAAATCACCAAGAATCAAAAAGGGTGCATCAGGTTTGTTTTGTAAGTGCTTATGAACACAGTCAGCTATTTGGTTTGCAGCTCTGATAGCATTCCCACTAGGTGGGATATAAACTGCACAAATAAATATGTTAGTAAATTCCCTTGGCAAATAGAACGGACGTAATGTGACGCACAATAGTTCCAGGTCAGGGTTGCAGATGCTTTCTCTTACCGCAAAATTTTGACACCAACGATCGTTGATATAGACACAGACCCCTCCCCCTCTTGTCTTACCGGAGTTCTCGTCTCTGTCCAAGCGAATATGGGAAAAACCGTCAACTTGTATTAAGCTTTCCGGTACTTCATTACACAACCATGTTTCAGTGAAAACCATGAGACCAGACTCACGGTACTCGAAGCAAGCTCCCGCTTGCGTGCGAAGTTCATCCAGTTTGTTCTTCAGTGAGCGTGGATTACAAAGAATTACTGGCGGCAAAGGAAGTTTAGAAGCTCTCCGGACCCGCTGTCTGACGCCGCCTCTCCCGCCTCGCTTCCTGATCCGACCCGAAACGCGCCTCGGCTGCCTCAGTAGTTCCTCAGGTAAATCCATCTCAAATCTGGTGGGTGACAGTCCTCCGCAACTCCGCAAATCCAAAAGCTCCGTCCTGCTATATCGCTGAATTTTGTCCAAAACTCCTTGCGCCACACAGCTAGTCAGAATTAGCCATGACACGACAAGCAGTTTTTTGTTTATCAATTCCCTCGAATCACTCCTATACGACCAGCAGTTTCCATCTCTGCCTCCGCGCAGGAGTTTAAGTGTCCAATATATGAATAAAAAACTAAAAACCAACATATCTGACAGGTACAACAAAGACAAACAAGTAAAGTACAGCAAGCACCCCTTTCCACGTCGCCAGCAGAGCAGCGCCATTTCAATGAAGCGCCATTTGCCATTTGAAGCACTATGAGTCGACTCTTTTATAAATAATCAATACTTTTAAACACGGTGCACTTTCAGATTTAAGCCTAAGCTGGATATTTCACTTCACTCAGAGCTGTGTTACACACTACATGGAAGGTCCTTCTCAAAAACCCATATTAGGGGCTCTTTAACAGTTGTAGTGTCTGGTTGTTTTTAATGACATTAATTGTAAAAAACACAAAACTTCATTTACATATTCGGATATTTCTATGCTTGCAAAAGCAGCTATTAGCAATGAGACGAAACATAAGAGAGGCCTCATCAACAAAGAGCTCGAAGAGGTCAAGTATGATGTACTGAAGTGGGTCAGCCATCTCCTGGCGCTAGAGGAGGATACGGTCCAGATGACACTTCTAACCAATTATTACAATATTACAACCGAAAGCTGAAAGAAGCATGGGAGCGTTATTTTCAATGGAAGATATCCTTCAAAGCCATATTTTTTAGCTTGTGGAGGACAACCCTGTCAGACTGCCCGAATGCTGATTAACGTTTTTAGATATACTACAACAAGCTATCCTGATTAGCCATGGGTCGGTATATGATTCTGTCGGTATGATAACCTTGTATAAAAATGTCACGGGTTTCATAGTATCACGGTATTGTGATCACTGCTCTTAAATACATTCTTTTCAAATTTCTGGGTAAAAAAACAAGTTTTTCCCATTTGAAAACATTATATATTTTTTTTTTTAAAGATTTAAAATATTTGGAGCAGTAAAGATGTCAGGCTGAATAATTCAAATGAATCACTGTCTTTCATTAGTTTCAAAAACACAGATTCCTTTACAATTTAAAACGGCATCTTTGGATCTTTTCTGCTGGAGATACTGTTGTGTTGAAAAACAAAACCAAAAAATGTCAATAAAAAAATCTTACACACACCTTAGGAACAGTATAGCTGAAAATTTTGGCGGTTTTAAAACCTTGACTTTTCCAAACCGCGGTATACCTTGAAAGCGGTAATCGTCCCATACCTCATCCTGATATAGATACAGCAACGTTTACCAGCAGTAATAACTTATAACATTAAGGCACACCTGCATCCAAGGGGTAGAATACTGTATTAAAGGCTGGAGCGGACAGACCAGCAGCGTGCTTAGACTTCTGTATACTGTAAGTTTCTCAGCGGAGAATAAAGGATTTTTGTTTTGTTCTTGTATTTGCTTTCATTCATCTTTTTCTCTAGATTTACTTTATTATTAAAAGTGTATTTTATTAATTTTCTTCACTGGAGTAGACATATACTTCATTCGTAAAACTCACCAGGACACCTTGTGGTAAGGCATGAATCTAATAATTTATTGAAATACAATCCAACAGATGGTCCAAAACAAAACTCTAGTATTTAATGAAGGCGTCCTGCACACAGTACTGCAAAATATAAGCCTACACACACAGCCTAGAAAGGGTTTTGATATATTTCAGAGTTTTTTAAATGGTAAATTAAACATTTGCATGGAACTGCTTGGACGGTTCGGGTTCTGCCTTCCTGTGAATGGAGGATGAGGAAGCTCTCAGATTTCACCTAAAATATCTTAATTGGTACTTTACAGATGAATAAAGGTTTTAGGGGATTTAATGATATGAAGGTGAGAAATTAATGACATTATTTTATATTTTAATAAAGCATCACAGCACAAGTTATCAATACTGTATTCTGTGTTTGCTTTGCTTGCCTTTATGTCATTTAATTTGAATATCAAAAACTGTTGCTCATATATTAACATAATAAACAAACATTAACATACACATCACACAAGAAAATAAACCAGAATGGGTGCAAATACTTTTTTCACAGCACATTATACGTTTGTTATAAGATTTTTTGAGTGCCATATTGGATTAAATCCATGTTTATGACTACTTATTGATCTGTATCTACACAAACAGGAAACATTTGTCTTACCTTGTATGACTGAAGCACTTCCCCAATGTGTCTGAATGTGTGCTGGTCGTGTTGGTGTGAGGTTACACACACTAAACACACAGGCTGTTTGTCCTCCAGACAGAAGAGTTTGAGTTTTTTATTGTGTAAACTGCAGATCTCCTCTGGTTTCTCATTTCTCTCTTTAGAAAACGACTCGCAGACGTTTTTCAGCACTAGGTTAGACAGCGGCTCGTGAGCGGATATTCTCATGCAGACAGCACACTGCTGAGTGCCCTTAGTCCTCCAGAAGTGCTGAAGACACTCTCTACAGAAACTGTGACTGCAGGACAAAATAACAGGATTCTTGAAGACTTCACGACACACAGGACAAGATAAATCCTCTTCAGAGAGCGAAGACATCTTCACTGTTTCAGTGTCCATCGGTCTGCCGTTAACTTCCACTTTCTGTTTGGCGGTTTATAATAAAACAGAGCCCGAATGACCCGCTGTCTGTTCACAAACAAACACCAAAACATCAATGATAAAAGATACTTCCTGAGCGCGTTTCTCTTCTTCTCCCTCCAATGATCAGTGGTTTGTTTTTAATGAAAATCAGTTCAACAGAAAGGAGAAATCTGCATCAGTTTGTTTCTTCTAGTGATGTTTGATGGCGGCTGGCAAAACAACTAGTGTACTTCCGCCATCTACAGGACTGGAGTGTGAAGCGCGTTCAAAAAAGAAAGAGATATAAAACATGTTTCTAAGCTATTTTGCTCAATAAATTGTTTAATTACTCTGAATACCTTAAACTTTTCATGAACTCACACCTGCAGCTTCTCCACGATGAACGTCCAGCATTCTCCATTGATGACTACCCCAACCCCAATTCTACCTATCCCTCACAGTAAAAACTGTTTCAATGTGCTTAAGAAATAGGCCTGTAAGGGATACATTTTAGGTGCTGATTAAAAATAAAGTTATTAAAGAAGTGAAAGAATTTAAGAATCGTGGCATAACTCTGGACATTAATTAAAAATTTGATAGTCATGTTAAAAATATAAGAAGGTTAAGCCAAATCTAAACTGTTTTCATTTTATTAGGAGCTTTTCAACATATCACACTGCAAAATAATACATGCACACAATAATATTCTCTCACTTGATGCATTGCATTAAATTGTGGCCACAAACTTCTTTAACTAAATTGAAGCCTATTGACTCGATATATAAGCAAGCAGTTAGAATTATAGACTTAAAGCCTATGTGATTTCATCATTGTGAATTTAGGTAAACACAACATATTTAGTTTTGATAGTTTTATTAAATTTAATTATGTTAAATTGATTTTTAAATGTTTAATCGTGTACCAATGCTGTTTTCAGAACTGATCAGTCAGCATCAAACTTGACAGAGTCAAACGAGCAACTGCTAACGGTGACTGTCTAGTGCCAAAGTGTAAGACTGATTTACCTGTTAGCCTGAAATCAGAAAGTAATGTAAATATGTTTAGTAGTGTTCTTAAAAAGTGGTCAAAACAAAATAGCTGTGTTTGCACAATTAGTCTACTATTAGTTTGTTTGATCACGCGCCTTTGCTTTTGCCTTCAGTAATTTTATGTAAAGAATTATAATGTCGTGTATATGTTTATTATATTTTCATTTTGTCAAGCCTCCTCTGGACAGGTGTTAAAAATTAGCAAGTCTGCTAATACACATCCAGTGTACTGTAATTGTGATTTCCATGTCAAATAAATAAACAAATATAGTAAATATTTACACAGCTGTATTCCCTCTAGACTTTACTTCTTTTTTAGCTCCCCCACATATAAAATGTGTCAGTCTCTTTACGCTCAGCATTTTAAAGAGTGGAGTTTCTGATCACGTGAATTAAATCACGTCAGGAAGGAATTAAACTCATCATGAAATCAAACTTCACTCTTCTTATTTGAATGTAATGCTTGTTATAAAAGAGGTATATGTGTACTCCATTATTTTGTAAAAATTAATTTGCCCTCATCATCTGGGAACCTTTTTTTTAGCAGAGTCATTTCTGATTTTTTTGGCAAATGTATTTTTTAAAAAGCCATTGATGTTTACTCAATAGTTTAGATTACTAGTATAAATAATACAGGTTTAAACAAAACCTTTATTTATGCCCATGCACAACTCAAAAGTAAACAAATATAAAGCATCACATGTTGAGCAAGTGCATGAATGGACAATTTCTGCTCGACATCACCACTTATGAATGTTGTTTCAATTTATGTGTGCAATGTTACCACAGAAATGCAAGTTGTTTGCCATTTATTGGTATTGCCAACGCAATCTCACGGCAATTCGTAACTTTTTGATTTAGTGGCTAATTCGTATGAATTTGTCTGATCTAATTCGTACTATTTAATACGATTTGCTTATCACCCAATGACGGTTGGGTTTAGGGGTGGGGTCTGGTGCGACGCCTCCTTTTTAAAATCGCACATTTTTGTTCGACTGAACTCGTACGAATTCGTACGAATTAGCCACTAACCAGACAAAACGTAAAATACTTACGTTTCCTCGTGAGACCAGGCTGGTATTGCGCATGTCACGATTCAAGCTTATCTACAGCACAGTCTACAGTCCATTTATTTTAAACTGAGGTCTTATTCATGTTGCTGTAAAAACATAAATAAATATACAATTAAAAAGGATTGTAATTTTCAATAGGAAACTGATTTCTAGTGATGGGTATACTTTTTTTAAACGGTAAAATATTATTGAAGTGAGACTACTGGAGAACCACGTTTTTTTTTTTTGGTCAAAAAGCCACATGTGGCTCACTAGCAGTGGTGGAAAGAGAACTGAAAAATCATACTTAATTAAGTAAAAGTACCATTACTTGTCTAAAAATGTAGTAATGCGAGTAGAGTAAAAGTATCTGCTGTAAATAGTAGCCATTTCGAAAGTACTCAAGTGAAGTGAGTGGTTAATATTACACTGTAAAAAGTAAATAACCAAGCATGTCCAACCTCCATTTTCTTTTGACTTTCTGCATCCCTCTACCACCCATTTAACCCTTATTCCTACATAAATAACACGCTTTAGGGTGTTTTTTCGAGTCTTTTTTTTTGGACAGCACACAAAAATGCATACTTTCATTCAAAACATCTGTAAGTGTGAATTTGTGAAACTAGTCTGATTGAGACCCAATACAAGTGAAGTTTATTCATAAACTAATTTCGAGAGGAGCATGTGATTATGATTGAACACGGCTGGTTCTGCATTAGCATGCTTGATCCATCAATCAGGCCATTCCTACCCACTATAAAGAGCCAGGGTTTCTCACTACAGTTATCTTCGATTAGAAGAATCCCCCCTTCCACCCCTACCTTTTCACCTTTCCCTCCATAGGGCAGCACGGTGGCTCAGTGACTAGCATTATTAAATGGACTAAGCCGAAAAGAAAATGAATTAATAAATTATTTTGTGTCTCTTACAATTAATGTCATTAAAACACCCAGCGACCAAATCTTCAACAGTAATACTAAACTGAACTGAATCATTGTTAATTCAACTAGAACTACACCAGCACTTGTTGTGGAAAAAAGATTCTGGTCTGCAAAAATATAAAGTCTCTAAGTCAAACTTTTCAAAAAATGACAAAGTCTGAGATCTCCGAAGTCTTTAGACGAAGCAGTTTATTGTTACAGCATCAGTAACAACAGAGACATGTCGTTCGAGTGTCTGAAATACATTTCTGTGTCTGAATACTCCACCCAAATTTACACATTACACACCGTCATCAGCTTCTCCACTAATGGGATCTTAAATATCTCAGGTGCCTGCCACCAATAGAATCTCAGGGTTTTTCAGGGGTCTTACCCATGTCCAGTTTAGGTCTTTCCTTCCTGTTTTAAAAGTGATGACTCAGCCAAAAGCAATGCTCAACAATATATCTTGTTCACTGTCCACTGAGCTGTCACCTGTAAGTTCAGCTGAAGTTCATATGTACTCATAATTTTTTAGATGTCAGTAAAAGTGAGTGTGGGCGCACGTGCAGGTGTGCTTCATCATGAGTTACAGAACAGAACGCAGGTGTCCTTTTGGCCTTGCTTCCATAAATCAACCCTCATTGTGACATTAATGCTGCTCTTCTAATTTATCTTCTCATCTCTGACTGCATTTACACAGAATGACTTTTTTATTTACCAAAGCACACATACCTGATAATAATGCCACAGGTATGGGTAATAATAAAATAGATAATAATACTGAAATCACTCAAACAAGCATATAAATGAGAGTAATACATTCATCAGAAATTCATCAAGACGCAATGAAATCCCCAACACACTATACACAACTCTCATCCCTGTCTGATATGCTAAAATCTTCCACAATGTAAAATACTGTTATGGCTTTTTATTTTATTTTATTTATTTATATTAAGCTGCTTTGACACAACCTACATTGTGAAAAGCACTTTTGTAATAAACATTAATGGAATTAATGTGGATAACATGGTAAAACATGATGAAAGCAGGAGGATCCAGAATTACACATGAAACATTCACTGGTCTTTAACAGGGAGGATCCTCAGAGGGTCAAGAGAAGTAAAGAAAGGAAAGATGGAGTCAGTGAAGGTGGTTGTGAATGTGTGTAGATGTGTGTCTGTTACAGGATCAGAGAAACACACAGTTCCTCTGTCATAATCCAGCTCCACTCTCACACACTCAAGATCCTGTTCAATATTAAAAGAAGTAGACACACTCAAGTTGGGTGAACTATCTTCATCATCATCATCGTCATCATCATCATCATCATCATCATCTTCATTATCTTTCTCTTCATCATCATCCTCATCTTCATCATCATCATCATCATCATCTTCATCATCATCACCATCCTCATCATCATCATCATCATCATCATCATCATCTTCATTATCTTTCTCTTCATCATCATACTCATCTTCATCATCATCATCATCATCTTCATCATCATCATCTTCATCTTCATCTTTCTCTTCATCAGCATCATCATCATCATCCACATTCTGATTATCCTCCCGATACCTCACACTCCAGACATCAGTGTTAAAGAAAACTTTTCCCTTTCTCTGGTTTGACTCTGTGGTTACTCCGACACTCCAGCATCGACTCTCCTTCACCTCCACATCCCAGCGGTGTTTTCCTGAGCTAAAACCCTCTGACCCCAGAACAAATGGAAACCAGTCAAATCTCTCTGGATTATCAGGAAACAAATGTTCGACGTCAGTCTCTCTCACGCTGGTCAGATCATCAGACACAACCAGGTCTGGATGAGCAGTGTTTGGGTCCAGAATCACAGGAGCTGAAGAGACACAATCAACAGCTGCTTTTATTGTCATTGTTACACTGTATAACTATCAAGAGTGAGCTGAACACATATTATTATGACACGATTTCCCTCTGATTAGTGTAAGTGTTATTAGTAGTAGGATAGTCAAAAGTATCAACTTTGGTACAAATTAGTACTGAAATTTTAGAAACCATTTTCTGCAAACATTTGAGAGCTGTTGAGCGCATTAAACCCAGCTGATTGGCCATTATGTTTACCTGCACAACAGAAATTACTGTAATTGTCCATAAAGGTCATCCATTTACCACTTTTCACTGCTGTTAACAGAATGCAAACACAGATACAGGGACACTGGAGTGTTTCAAAGCCACATCCATGAGCTCATCGACATGGCTTTGAAGCGCTCCAGTGTCGGCTTGGCAAGGAGGCATTTTGTGTAGAGTTTGCATGTTCTTCCAGAGTTTGTGGGCTCCTCTAGGTGCTATTCCTCATAATATGTACTATAGGTGAATTGTATAAACAAAATTGGCCGTAGTGTATGTGTAAATAAGTAGTGTGTGTGTAAATGATAGAATAAGAGTCCTGCATTTAAGTCTGAGCCCAACGGGGCCCAACTTTTTTTATGCCCCTCGGGCCGGGCTTCGGGTCAATTTTCACATCATAACTAGCACGCATATCGGGCTTCAGGCCTGCATTAGAAAAAACTTTGATTGCATGCGGTCCAGAAGCACCAGCGATGCCTTGCACATAGAGATGTTCAGCCATGTAGAATAGATTAAATTTGGAGCTAAAAAAACGAATATATGATATGATGAGCGCGGTGTCGAATATAGAAGCAGACTTTGTGGCCGTGCTTCCCCAGGCTGCTTCGGCCGTGGCTCTGGAGATGGTTTATCCCCCCAGCCCCGCGATGAACGATGAATTAATTGAATTAATTATAAATAACTAATTCATAACGAATTAATGATTTGTAGCCTACCGTTTAAACTACCTGACCTGCATGGTCTTTGTTTTACCCATAAACAAATCATAAATGAATAAAGGCAAGATACACACATAATCACCACCTGTCAATCATTTTATCTGTGGGACTCGTGAATAGGCAGTGATCTGTGTCGTTATAATGACGTCGGTAAAAAAGACGCACAACCAACAGGAACCAGCCAACAGTATCTGAGGTGTTCGCTAAAATGACTAAGTACAAGTGAGTGAAAGATTGAAGCAGTCCCGCTGACTGACTGGACCTGCTGTTTCGAGCGCATGGCTGTGTGTGCGTCTGTGTGTGTTAGTGAATGTGTGTGTGTGTTGTCACGTGATGTGCGTTTTCATCGGTAGTATGGAAGGACGGCTGCTCAGAAATGAAAAACGCCAGTGTGGATCGTTTTCGTTCTAAAATGCCATTTAAAACTAAAACCTATTAGTGTAAACGGGGCCTGAGTGTGTATTTTTCGTGAGTGGATTTGCAGCGGGGGCTGGACGGAGGATTGCGATGCCGGTGTTGTCTATCGGCCCAACCCGAATACGCAGAGGTGTATAAAGTACTACAGACCCATACTTAAGTAAAAGTACAAGTGCTCTATCAAAAAGTGACTTGAGTAGAAGTGCTCTTTAAGCACCATACTTAAGTGTATTCAACATTTTTAGTACTTAAGTATTGCAAGTAGTTTATTTCAAAATTTACTACTCAAGTACTGAAAGTAAAAGTACAAGTATTGTGTAATGTAGTTATTAAAGAAAGCAGTCAAAAACATCATATTGTTTTGTTTATTTTAAATATCTTTTTTGGGGCACTTGATTAAGCAGAATGAAAAGAAACATGGCTTATGATACTGTTTTTCTCTGTAAATAATTTCTATGGTACAAGAACTCACATCGTCAGGCCCTTTTACCAGAAAATGCCTTCACTGATGAGATAATTCAGCATGTTCACTCACATACATACACTCTCTTTCTCTCTCTCTCTCTCTCTCTCTCTCACACACACACACACACACACACACACACACACACACACACACACACACACACTTTCTCTCTCTCTCTCTCTCTCTCTCTCTCTCTCTCTTACACACACACACACACACACACAGACACACACAGGTGCAATCACACTTTGGGAGTTTTGAAGTTTGATTGGTTAATACCATAATAAACAGGAGTTCTGTCTTCTGGAAGCACTCGTGAAATAAACTAAACCAGCAAACTAAATCCTGTTGCACTAATTCACTTGATTTTGATTTTCTTGTAAAAAAAAAAAAAAAAAAAAAAAAAAAACTGGAAAGCATGTATATTACTGTGTTAAATGAAAATATGAAATATTGTATAGCTTATGGCTATGATTTAGTATGAATTTTTATTTATTTTTATTATGTTTTTAATTCAACTGGTCTTACACTTCATATTTTCTGTAGTATATTTATCAATTCTGGTACTTTTACCATAAACCAACATCTTAACCATTTGGTAGAGGCTGATATTTTAGAAATTATGGGATGTGTTGGAAAAAATGCACTGATTGTGTTAACTAGCGACATTAGGAGTTAAGAAATGCAATACAAAAATGATATTGCTTTTGTCTTGGTGTGACAGTTAAAGGGTTTTTTGTAATACAATTTTGTTCTTTAATACAGCAGTCAGATATATGAACTGTGCCCTAAATTTGACCTGCTCAAAGAAAACACTCTTTCTGGATGTATCAAACAAAACTTATGCACAGAAGACAGCATCAGCATTTACAGCAAATAAACTCATGTCAATATTAAGCGCTGACAGGCAAGGTCTTCTTCACCTGCTCAACAGAAAGGGCTTTAGAAATGAATCGCTGTTCACCCATGGCGGGAAGAATATGCGGTTATCACAGGTAATAGACACAGTGGAGAAAACTTGCACATCAGGCACGTGTGTCAGGATCCACAGCTTTAACAGCCAAGAAGAGAGAAAAAGTAACTGTGGCGAGGGGGCGTGGCCGAGAGCCGTGGGAACGGATTGAGGCCACCGCTTAAGTGGATACACCTGCGGTGCGCACCTGCCTCGGATCCCACGGAAGGAGCTCTGGACGATAAAAGGAGGAACGATGGTAGAGGAAGCCGAGAGAGGACCAGGCCCGGACATATTTTACTTTTGCTTTCAGTTTGACGGCAGTCTCCGTGAGGAGCTGCCGTCCGTTTGTTTTGGTTTAGATGGCAGCCTCCGTGAGGAGCTGCCGTCACTGTTATTAATTAATCAGTTAAAAACTGCGTCGGTTCTCCGCCTCCTTCTTCCTGGCGGCCAAAGGGCCGTGAACTTGATTACAGTGGTGCCGAAGCCCGGGAGAAGGAGGGACGCGTTGTCCAGATGCCCTCGCCGCTGAAAGGGGGGCGAGTGTTCGGGAGTTAACCCGAGTGGGGGAGAAACCCGTTCGTCTGCCCAGAGTGCTGGGGTGGCCTAAGGCTGGCGAGGAAAGGATCTGCCTGCTGCTGTCTCCCAGCATGGGGAGGAGCAGGGGACGCGGGGCTCTCCACCGGAAGGGAAAGTGCTGAAGGGAGCCATCCCACAGAACCCGGGGGAGTCGCCGCGATCCGCCATGATGCCGTAGCCTGCATCCGTCCACCGAAGCGGGAGCGGAGCAGGAGACCAGAGATGCCGCCAGCCAGCCAGGAGAACCGCCGCCGGACACCAGAAGATGGACGGGTGGATAGATTCCTCCATAGGGCTCCCAACACGTCGTCGCATCTCTCAGCTACCGAGTGGCAAAGTATCTGGAGAACCGAACCCCAATTTTTTTTTTCCTCTCTCCCCTTTCTCGTTCTACTCTGTCTTTCCTCTTTTTTCCATCTCCTTTTCTCCTTTTCTCTCGGCCCATCTCATATAGGTCTTGCGGGTGCTGTGCCATATCTTTAGCTCTCCAACCCTCCACCATCCCGTGGGGAATGAATGTGTACTCAAAAAATTTAAACATTCTGTCGATTCCTGTAAATATTCCTCACCTCGCTAGAGAACTGTATTCTCACCCTGACACTAATTTTTCGGACTTTTTCATTTCAGGTGTAACCCACAGATTCCAACCGGGCTTCTCAGCTCTCCCTTTTATTAATCTTTACTCTATTAACCTATCACTGATTGAACCTGAAACTGTCAATCATCTTATTTAAAAAAAGAGATTGCCAACCACTTGATTGGACCATTCTCTGCCCCACCATTTAAGATTTCATGCATTTGCCCCATAAGCACAGCAACTTGCAAATTCTCTGACAAATGGATTTAATCTAATAATTTTAGAATACCCCATCCCATTCAAATTTCATATAATATTCTAATCATCTCTTCCCCCCCACATCGCCTCGAGCCAAACTTATGGATTGCTTTCCTTATGCAATGGAATGGCTGTTCCTTCTTCTGCAGTGATTATTAGCACCGCCATTAGATATTAGCCTATATGGTGCTGCCCCATCAGTTGGGTTCGAAGGTTACTCAGAGGCCCCTGGTTCGCCACCACATGCCCCCCTTAATCGATTTCCACTCCAGAAAACAAATATTCATCAGCTTTCTTCCAACTATACCCAAAAGATGCTGCCGACATACTATGGGGAGACGAATGGTCCACCTCAAGCATTCTCATTCATTGTGATGAGGAAGACACAGTATAATGCATAGACAAAGGCGATCCTACTCACCAACCTTTAATGCTACCCTTTAGACGTCTTATTTGGACATCAGCAAAAAACAATGTATCATATCTGCTGAACACTTGCCAGGTTGCAAAAACCAAATCACTGACTCTCTTTCTCATTTTTCTTTACAGTAATTCTGGTCATTGGCATTCCAGAAGTGCACCTCAACCCAATGCCTGTCCCTCTCTTTCCAGAAACGACATTACCTTAAACCACCCCCTTTATAACCTCCAACAAACCCCTTATCGCTTATCCTTCAAGTAGTAGTCCTCAGAATCCTTCCGTCACACATCACATCAGGATTCCTTCCTGAACCATTTTCCAGCCATTCATTCAGAATTGGCATACCATCACAGCAGCCAT